CGTCTCAAAATCAAGAAAAAAAACTATGACCTAAGCACTATTGGCAAGCGCACACCTGAAGGCTGAAATTGTGACTCGCCCACACGTTCAGTTGTAAAAATACAGTATTATGCTAGGTGAAAATAAAACTAGCTAAATTTGAAAAACAGCGTTAGAAATGAAAAAACGAGACAATCCAAATGGAGGCGGAAGCTGACCCGGTGATTGTTTACAATCTTATAGTTACTTACTCAAGGGCTGTACTATGAATAGCAGTTAGGAGTTCTCACATTTATATTGCTTTGCTAAATAATTCACGCATAGCTGTTCATGTAATCTGACCCTCCTATTTTTCTAAAATTTACAGATGACGGAATTTGGAATAGGAAAAACAATATTCGAACAACGACGCTGTTCAGTATTAGGCCGGTATATGAAGTGTGTCCTCGTTTGGCCCATGGTGTTTACCAGTTGCAAAGTAGAAGGACAGGTCCCACAGAATCATATCATGAAATTCCGGTGTTTTTCCCAATATCCGTGAAATAAAGCCAAGTCTTATGATCACGGAAGCAATGCAATCAAAGTTACTGTTACGAAGAACAGAGAAATACCGACGTAGCTGCAGAAACAGTTTCCATGGTTAACAAAGGGGGGGGGGGTTGATGCTGAACACCTGCAGTGGGTTTGAGTAGATTGGGTTTCCTTGGACTGTATCTTCGCTAACCGGTCACACATCAGGGAAGCATTCGCTCACCTACAAGGTGTCGAAGATAACAAGCTCCGTCGTGCACATACACCAACGCAAACGTACAAAATAATGAAGAGAATTATACATGACACAGATTTCACTATGCTAGAACTCAACTGATAGCGAGGCACACTATTCATCGGACTTCATAAATCCTATTTGTGGTTGTTGCCACCTTCCACGGGCATTTTTGTGCCCAACTGACAGTGAACACGTATTTGTACCTATTAATAAATGATGTATTACGGTTATCTAACTTGTATACATGTAAAAAAAGTATGGGAGTACGTTGGCCAACACAAAACGCGAAATCCAATCCGTCACTGAATGGTTTTGGAGACAAATTGGATTCAAACTAATGTGCAAATCTTGGAATGCGAGTGAAATGTTTCCAGAATACGACACTGGATAGTAATGGTGCTGGCTCCGTGATGCAAAAAAGTACAACACTGAATTCTCCTACGAACAGAGCTCGGAAATGGTTTCAACTGTTGACCAAGATTACTCACATTTTACGATAGCATGCACGATTACTAGTTCTTCGCTGAAGTAGGATCTAATCAGCTTCCAAACTGATACTCGCCTCATTGATCCAGATCGAAAAACCCAATATATAGTGGAACCACTCACTTCAACACGGAAGCAATCCTCGCATTTATCTTGTGTCAGAAATGAGCGTACCATAGGAATCCTTGAATTATTATCAGCCATCGTTTAGTATCATTCGTTAATTACCATACAAAAAATTACTTCCTCCAAACTTTTGCGAAGCTCTTCGAAGTTCCGATAAGCATCATGTAATATAGTCTCTTTCACCGATAATCTAGATAATAGGTACACCCTCCTTCTAGATAAGAGTTATATAATCAGTGCATTTTCGTCTATCCTTAAGAAGGCTAAGATAATTTGTTGGCTGGATCCGCATCACACAGAACCTAAAAAACCAGTCAAAACCGTTTCCGTTTTTGGGAATCTCTGATTTGGGGATTTCATAATGGGGTATAAATTCCCTCGCACAAAAGGAACAAGTGCAACCCATGCGGGTGCACATCGAAAGTTTTAATCTTTGCCGTGCTCGCGCAGCTTCCGTTTCGGTGCGGACTTGCGATGAAATGATTCGCATGTCATGACCAACTCCGTTCAATGAATCAGAGTTGAAGTGTTCCTGATCGGGTTCTACACAGTGGGAAATGAAAATAACTAGTAAAGATGTGAAAAATACTAAATGGTCCTCTGATCAGTCCCGTGGTGGTCACGTGAGGAGTGTGCTCGTATTTTTCTGGTCCAAGGCTTCATCCATTCATTTTGCACACCAGAAGCAACAAAGTGGAACTAGTTGTCTAACGCTTACCAGTCTTTAAATTATATGGATAAAAAAATTGATTTTTCAAATAGGTGTCAATCGCCCCCCCCCCGACACACCCAAAGATGTTTAAAAATTATATACGTTCACAGATTTAACAAGTTTCACTTACTCAACAATGTAAACAAGAGAACGCGCTAAGAAAAACCCTGTTTACAGAAGCCATAGGTATAAGATAGTAGGAAGATTGCACAGTTTGCGAAATATTTTTGCGGCATTTATCTTTATTGGTAACTGTTTTCAGATTTTGATAGAAAACATGGTGACGAAAATCCATAGTGTTCTGGCAATGCTCAAGCTGCTGGCCCATAGTCCACGGTTTTCCAATACCCTGTATTGATCATTCTTCGAGACCTCGAACAGGGTAATGCTACTATTCTATTCTTCGTGTCCGTGCTTAGTCATAGCATGATCACTGTGACACTGCCTGCAGACATACAAACAGTAAGATAATGCAAAGATATAGCCACCACTGTCCATCTTTCCTACTTCTAAGCGCCCCAGAGTAGTCTTTGATTGACCACAGACCACTTCCTGAAAAAAACATGAACTGGTCTTCGTTAGATGAATGAAAAGGTTGCAGAAGCGTTTCAATAAAAAAATGATTGGTACGGATTACATGAAGAATCCACCGGAAGCAAAGTAGCACAATCGTAGTGATCAGAGTACGAGTATCTATACACAATATGTCGCCAGACCTTGTCATTACTCATGAAGTGGTGCCACCAGATCGGACCAATTCCTCGAAGACGGTATTGAGCGGATATGCAGAGAGACCCTAAGAATTCCTGTTAGAGTGAACTGAGATGATTCTGAGATGTTTTCTTTCAGATATGATATCTAAAGCGATTTGTGGATAACAGTCTGCGAAGTCATCGGTTATCAAAGTACTGAACTAGGTCAACAATCATGCTAAAACAGCAAAAGTCCTTGAATTAGGCGAATCAAGTCTTGAAATAAAACAATGCTAATTGTGTTATTGTACATTCATTTGTTCAGTGAGAGACGTATGTGGTGGTAGAGACATCGGGGCTTCGGGTTGAGAAATGCGTGCTGGGTTTTTAGTCATGTAAGCTATTTCATCCCCAATGCTACCGTCAGCCGTTGCGTCAATATAACTGATCACCATTGGTGATCAGGTTCCTCTCAGCTGTTCTTTTGCATCGTTTACTGGAGTGTGAATTGATATGATGATAAAATTCCACCGGGTAAGCTGTTATGAATTTAACACACCGACTCTTGTAACTGATTCACTCATTGAAAGGATCAGCACATGAAGCACGACACACATTTTGGATTCTGATCAATAAGAGATCATTTTTTCTAAATACTGATAAACGGGAAATACGGCTTTGCGAGATAACCTTAATTGCTTCCGAAATTAGGTTGCGACAGAGCTCTGTATACCTGCAGAACTACGGAACAAATTAGAAATTGAACTATCTAGAACGACAGGACTTAGGTTAAATGTGAGAAGAGCATCAGGTATTTTACCTCCCCTAAACTTCTTAGCAACTGAAAATACAAGATGATACCTCTGCCATTGGGGAACACCATCTTTCTAATTCTGAGAGATATTCCGTAACAAACATCTAAATAATCACGATTTGTTGGATGCTGATTCATGTTGAAAAAGTAGATATCGACCGATAAAACCGCACAGTAGGCTGAAAAAGAAATTCACGTCACTTTGACTCCGCGTTGATGGATGGCGTTCATCAATTCCGCAAATAGTATCATTTGGGATATAGTGAAGTAAATAGGTAAATAAATAACTCAATTTCGCGCCTCTGTTTTCCGTCTGTCTACATACAGTTTGGCCGTATTGATATGTGACATACAGTTTTAAGTGTCGGTAACAAATGACTGACTTAGTTCACAACAATTATGAAGTTTTTGTTTGGATCTAGCTTTCTCCAGTCTGGTTATAAAGTTCCGATTTAGGTGCAGTTCAACTAACTTCAAACTCGGGCAATAAAGGGACTAGGTTCAATACAGTAAAAAACTAACGGTCAGCTGTACTCTTCATTCCGACATGGAGTATTTCAGCCCATCATGTCAAGCTGGCTAATGCGCTTTGGTGTTTCAAAACATTTTTCTCATGCCGCGAACAAGTTCATTAGGATGCCAAATGACCAGCGATATCTCGTTTGGGAAAACGTTTGAGTGCGCCACATTACCCGGCTCTGCTACAAACTATTCCGTTCACGACAATAGGCATCCAATTGATTCGTGCGGCTTTTAGCGGATACACCAACCAGACCAGAATGACTGATCGTTGCGATATCCCCAAAATTCACATAGGTGTATGTTGCTGAAGGGGATATTGCACGTGTAATTGGCACAACATCACAGCCTCTATCGGAGATGAACGACGTGATGATATACAGCCTAATATGACACTACTCCGAATTGCAAAAGGGTAAAACTAATGAAGAGAGAGCCCGTGCGATGATTCCTGTTTTGGCTCGAATAAAAGTAGATCCTCATCACCGCTGTAAACATCCATCGATCACGATTGGATAGGATATGTCATAGAGTACAACTTCCTGGAGAATCATTTCTTTGTCTCTCATCGTTTTTATTATTTCCATTGAAATTAATATCCAAATATTATGAAACTTCGCAAGGGCCTTTACTCTCTAAAAAAACCCAATTTATCCACATCTTCTATGCGAAAACTTCATCGTCCACCCAAGAACTTCTGTTGATTAGCCTACCACCTACAAATAGCAAGCAAAGGAATTTTTCGTTATACCATCTACACACCATGTATATAAAACTTGTGTCAAATTCGAGGTAAATTGCTTAGTGGGACGGACATTTTCACGAAACGAGAAATATCAATACTCCTAATTTGCATTATAATCAACATTAGCATGAACAACATCGTCAGCAGCGATCACCTACCGGGAAGGCTCGTGCCCAGTGCGACAAATGTGATCGCAGTCACCGCGTCCGTAAGCCCGACAGAACAGCCGAACGATGAAGCCATGTCTCCAATGATTGCTGTCAGCACCCCGATCACAATGATGCACACAGCGAAACAAAGCCATCCACCCCAGTAATCTGAAGGGGCACCGAAAAGAGTGTTGTATGTATATTCACATCTTAGATTGTAAAAAAATAAACAAAATAGAGATGCACGCTTTAATCTCGAAGAGACCCGTGTGTGTGTGTGTGTGTGTGCATTTACGAACAAGCGAGGAACTGAACTGATTCCCTCTGTGGATTTATGTCAACAAACTGGGCCTCTCGAGCTTGTAATGATGCGTAATAAGATAACGAAATCATCAACACCGAATTTAGACAGGGACAGAGGAAAAATCCAAACGACCCCAACTCTGTAAACTCAAATGGACTGAAACTGACAATAATGGCTAAGCAATTACACATGCCCGCTTGACTTCAACAGTTAGCAGATTGAATAATTACTTCTAATTAGCATTGCGTTGCACGATATTTGATTATGTTACGCTAGTTTTTGATTGCTGCATGATGGTAGTTCCGTGTACCAGAATGACAGACAATTCCACACCCACCCCAATTGCTCGTGAACTGCACATTGATGATTAAAGTGACCGATAAGCTCTATGCATTTTCCAAGTACTATGAAAACTCAGAAAAAACCCCGACCAGTCACTACGAACTGGTGGTCCAGTAAAGTAACGGCATCTTGAGCCATCATCCGACATGAGATTGTTTCATAAAATAATATTGAGAACTGAATCCAATTTCAAGCATGTGGCTTCATCGGATAAGCGATCGACAACACCGAGGTTAGCTTATTAGTTGTGTTCAGTGCAATCGATTCTATTCGGATTTTCCATTCTTTGAAATTGCATTGATTGCATATTGTGCTCATAGTTCTGGTTGTGCTCTGTACGCGTGCCGGAACTGGAACACCACCGATGATATTTTCTGATATCCCTACTGGATTGTTCGCAGAGACGGGATATGGGGTCGATAGATCTTCACCATCGGAAAACGTGCAATATTTATCAACGGTGGACGAACACAGAAAATATTTAATTTGTTTTTGAGGTCGGTTAAGCCACATGATCTATCCGGCTGATGTGATTAGTCGTAGGAAATAGAATGACACACAGAATTAGTGAAAAACTTGATCGATGATAAAACAAACAGGAATTTTACTATGGAATGGTGTAACCCGCTTTGGGTGGCAGGAAATAGTTCTGTTTTGATCCGACAGACGGTAGTCGATCTATCCACCACGATAGACAGTGTGCTGAACAAACAGCCTCGCCTCGTTAAATAGGTCAAACTGATATTCCGAGGTATCAGCAAATATCATCACAATGGCAGGATTGGTTGGATCTAGCTGAATGCTCTAATCAGCACTCGCCCCCATGAAACTTGCATTCCGTTCACTTCTGCCCACTTTCAGCCTAACACACACACACACACACGCCTGTACTTGTTTGGACCATATGTTGGGTTGTTTCCTTCGAAGTAATCACGGCTGTCTCCACTTTCTTTACTCTTAAGAAGACGTGTTCTACATGTGTTTTTAATTGGGTGTGGCAAAGCCACTCCTGTATCCTGTTTCCCAAAGGGGATACTTTCATGCATGAGTTAGCCTCCTCTCCGGATACAAACAAGTGCTAGATATAAAATACCCAGTTAGGAAAAGCAGTGCTAAAATAGGAAAGAGGATAACTGCAACCACGTCAGGTTTAACACAGTGAACAATGTAGCACAATGCGGATTAATTTTAATGATGCTATTCGAGCGATGAATATTAATCCGAAGACTGAAGTCACAGGAGAATTGGTTTCTAAGCTTCTCGTTGGTGTTACACTCTTTCGATTGTCCACCGCAAGTGAACGGTGCACGCATGAGAACCAGACTGGTTTTAGACCTGATCGAGGTTGTATACACCACATTTTCACCCAGTACACAAATTTTCGAACACAGACACTCCTTTGTAGACTTACCACTTCTATCTTTCCCAATCTGAATGTAAACTTCGACCCAGTCGACCGCTTTAAACTCTGGCAATGCCTCGCTCCCAAGGGAGTGTCCAAGAGATTAATTTATCTTTATACTGACAGCCAAAGCCGAGTCCGAGCTAACGAGCTAACCCTTACGCCTGAGATCAATACGGAAAGTGGTAATCGTCAGAGTTGTGCCCTCCCCCTTTTTTCTACTTGATTTTGCCGGAGATTTAATTTGCCCCCAAGTGGCAGACAGTCTAATCTGGAGTATGCAGACGAAATTGTACTGCTAAGATCAGATCCATGTCAGTTGCCAGTTTTCCGGATAGTGTGAGTGCTAGCCTAGCCGTATTCCCCGGCGGGGAAACCGGAGAAGGAATGCTGAAGTTAGCTATGGGTACTTGTAGTCACCGCTGGATCCGGGGGTTGACCTCCATTGACTACGCTGGTTGGAGCACGTCTTGTGCAGGTCACTAAATAGGTTGCTACGGCGAGCGATGTTTGCCGAAGCAGTCAGCGGATGGGGAAAGGTGAAGGGCTGTCAAACTAAGACCTAGCATGAGGATATGAGAACCTCAACCAGGAGGCTGGGTCACATAGGTCCAAGTTAAGCCCGTGAATGGGGACCCCGAGATAGCTGCAACCGACGATTAGAGATGCTGAGTGATATGGTTGATTGCAACAAACAGTCGCGCTCGTGTATTTACTAATTTTTGTTGCAACCCAACCTATAGGAATTTCAAAGATGAATTCGTCTTGTACATAGTAAATGAAGCGTGGACTGAAAAGCTAAGAAGCACTGGACAGCTGTTTCGACCTGGTTGGGTTTGATTAGCAATGCGAATCCATCGGCCCAACTGGGGATCGAACCCGGCACCTCACAGGCAGAACACAAGCGTGCTACCCACTCGGACACCGAAAGCTGATCAGACCGTTTTTCATTTTCCATTTACACGATATAGCACAACCCATCTTTGCGAGTTGTTGTGGGCCACAGACTCTGCTCATCTCAGCACTAGCCTCCGGGTTATGACTCGGTTAGAAAACTTCATACCATCTTCTCTTTGACTCTGCTCTTTTATCCAAATGGCCGGGGGGAAGAAAGCAACCAAAACTGGTGAATGAAACGCATGGTTAATGGTTGTGAAAACTAAAACTGAAAAACTGAGGTAACCACCGATATGTAGACTGGTACCTAGCAGTGAGCCTCATTTGTTGCGATAGTTTTATAACACTCATCGACTCAAGGTTCGCAACACTTTACAGTCACTGACCCCGAGAATACTGCGTGTATGGACTGATCGCCTGTGATATAACCTACTGAACTTTCCACAACTAACGCAAGCTGAATCAAATTGAATAAAAAACCTTTCTCAATTACTTTTGGTAGCACAGATAAGAAGCAAGCAGTTTGTGGGCTCTATCATGATGAGGTTGATAATTTTATTTACACCAATATTGATTGCATAAGTTATCTTAGTAAAGTAATTTAGGCTGAGGATTGCGATTTCCTTCGAATCGAATACTAAGTTCCTTTCCGATACTTTGAATTCATCCGGGGTAACCAAGTCCATAAACCAGTCATGGGCCATTCGCGAGGTCATGCTGAGATTTGGGATTCCCTCACGAGTTGGAAAATCCGAAAAAAGGTCGGTCCACAGATATTTGGTACAACGTGTCCCCCGGGTGTTTTACAGTTTGCATGATCAATTTCCTTAGGGACGAACTTCAAATCCCTTCATACGTGAGCGGCTGACACGGTTGTATCAGAAAAGATCCTTTAAACATTTGTCTCCTTTGCTTCGTTATATTATGGATCTTCAATCTATCAATTCTCGGTAGTGAGAGAGGAGAAAATTATATTCAGAACACAGAATAAACTTGTGGGTAGACCTGGAAAGCGATAATACCAAGCGGAATCACTCGCATTCGCAGTGGGTCTGGTAATGCGAAAAGTTACAAACAAGGAGTGCATTCGTGTTGATGGTTTGAGCTTTCCGTGGTCATCGACGGGATGGACCGCCAAATGTCTTTTGGGTTATGTTGCATGCCATTGGTTTTAGTTTTCCCTAGACTGTGAATGGTGACAATGCACCGAAGTTTAATCTACTCAGTAAGTTCTCCAAAGTGGTTTATAAGTGCAAAAACATGAAGCTGAAAAATATTGGGCAAAATTTCTGATCATTGAGTGCTATATTGTTCCAATACACTATCCACTGAAACAATCTTCAATCTTTTAAATACGTAACTATGGGAATTTTTGTCTCGACAGTGGGGCCTAGCATGATACTTCGAATAAAAGTAAAACGTAACCTAACTGCATTAAGTTGTTTCACTATGGAAACTAGCACATAACTGCCTTGGTGATCAAATCCAATAGAACGTCCTGTTGTTCATTTCTCACTAAACTCTCCGATATTTTCACAATTCTAGCATGTAGGATTTCGCTATCTACCAAACAGCACAATTTGAACGAATAAAGTCATAACTAAATCCACGCGACAATCATCCAGCTTATTCTTATGTTCACTAATAGTAGAATCTCAGTGTTGTTGAACCAACGAGAGTTCACTAACCTGTGGGTGGGACGAATGCGAACAGCACTTTCCAGAAGACCGTGAGGAAATGCATCACGTAATCCATACAGGAGGGTAGTTTCTCTTCATCATCACCCGTCGGATCGGAATCACCACCTATGTGAATATGCATGTCCGGCAACCGAGAGAGACAGAGAATTGTGCAGTAAATAGGGGTTATTGAAACGTTTGATGACAGAAACAATGTCATCTTCTAGATAATTATTTTTCCAATGTACCCGACCATGCGAGATGCAAAAAGAAACGGTGAACTGTTCATAAACAATCCAGAATGATTTGACAAGATTCGAACGCGACACAAACAACCCACTGTGTCTTAACGCCGATGTACATCTCCTAAGCTAGGGTGTGTGTGCAAAACTGAGCAAAGATTTGATTTCAGAACTTCTTGCGTGATATTTGAACCATACAAATTAAAGTTGAAAGTCATCAGATGAACTTGGAAAATTATCGCTTTAATTGGAGAACGAAACTTTCAGCACACATGATCGACCAACTGACAGCATGTCTTTCTGTGGTCAACGACTGGTGACGCTCCAATGATTGAAAATGAGGCGGATATTGATCCTGTGGACCGGAGTGACAGAATGGCTTGTGCGAGAACAGCCGGCTGTGGTGGCTGGGATGCAAACGATAGCCACTCACAGTAGGTCATCACAATATGGCATTTGGAGAAACAATTTTTGATTGGTTGGAACTGACCTTCTTTCAGACTTCACCTTCACGCACATTTATCAGCTCTTACAGTCAACCACACACTCGGAAGACTGGAAGAGCTGAGGAATGTGTGTGAAGGTGAAGTCTGGAGGACGGTCAGTTCCAATCAATCAACACCAATTATCCCAAATCACCACTCACAAGTAACTGAGAATTAAGTGTCAACAGCACAAATTTTTTTTTCTTGATAGTGTCCTTTAATCGGTGATCCGCTTCACTCTCTCGATCGATAGCTGCAGTAAGGACGATGAACTTTTCGTCTTATGAAACATGGGGGG